TATATATATATATCACTTAATTCCCATGTATTTACATATCTAAACACCTAAACTAATATTTTTTTCTAATATGTCACCTTTACAGGGCATAAAAAAGAGTATTTCACAATTTAAAAGTTAAAATTGTGATATTTTTATGTTATTCAAAACTTAGGTGGTAGAAATATAAAAAGAATAACTTTATGTGTTAGATATATAAATACATAGAAGTTGGGCGGTATGTATGTAAATGCCCCTTTTTTCACTTTTTTTCATTATTATATATATATATATCTATATATATATTAAATTAAATCCCACTTCTTCCCTATTCTTCTCATAGGCAGAGATCCAAAAGTGAATCACATCAAATTAACACTTTTGTGGGGATAAAAGTCTAAAAGGCCATAATATGCTAAGCTCAAAAGCCCTATATATATATATATCATTGCATATTATTAGCCAAGATAGATTTTTTTTTATTTCTTGGCATTTAATTATGTTAATATTTATAAATATAGATTGGTCCACCCTATATAACATATATATTCTCAATTAACTAAATAAGAATATAGGCATTTTATGCTAAGTATGTTATTGGAAGATTTTCATACATATCACTCAAATCCAATGTATTTAATACCTAATACCAAAATTTCAATTTTTTTACATATAAGCCACTTTAGTAAAGTTGTATTTTATTATTTACAAATTAAAAAAGAGAAATTTACATATGTGATATCCAATTCCTATGTGTTTACAGAAAAAAATATTACATCGGGAGTATTGATGCATCAGTACTTCAATGGTGAAGTGTCACGTATGCAATGGTCTCACCGTGACGCCACGTGGCACCTCACTTTTGGAATACTGATGCATCAGTACTTCTGAGGTAATATTTTTTCGTGTTTATGCATCAGTACTCCTGAGGTAATATTTTTTCGTGTTTACATATCTAACTCCTATACTTTTCTTCTTTATATTTATATCATTCAAATCTTTCACATCATATCAAAAATATGTAAAAAGTCTAATACATATTTTCATGCATATTTAAGGTGATATATATGCAAATATTGAAGTTTAGGTATTTGATATGTATATATACAAGAATAGAATGATATGCATTTAAATCTTATAAGTTAAAATGGTGGTATTTTTTGAAGCCATAAGAATTAAAAAATAAATAAAATTTACGTGTTAAACATGTAAATAGATAGGAATTGATGGCATGTATTGGCATTTACATATGTAGCTCAAAATTTGCATATATTTATATATTTCACACCTAAACTTTTATATTTACATATACAGCATTTAAATTTGTAATATTATATAAAAAATAATAATATTATTATTTTTTTAAAAGCATAAAAAAGTTATATATGTAAATACAAAAATGAAGGCGTCATCCATGTAAATAAATGACAGTTTTGTGCTATGTATGTAAATTTCCCTAGTTTATTTCCCTACTTTTTCCGGCCATAAAATGACCAGTAACGAAAGAAAACAGAGCACACGCGTCTCCACCCTCGCTCTATCAGAAGAAAGCCCGCTGCCCCTTCCCTCTATCTCACTCTTACGTCTCTCCTCTCTCTCTCTCTCTCTCTCAACAAAGCACTCTTTCATGGAATCTCTATCGCTGGCTCGGTTCTCCCCACCCCCTCTCTGAAAAAGAGAACTAAAAGACGAGCTTCTGCAACCTTTCCCTTTCTCTCGTCGCTTCAAAAACCTTATTTTGAGGCAGCTAAGCCTTAATCCCAGCGATTTTTGTTCGTCGTTGAAGCCTTTAACCAGCTTTTGGGTTGAAACGAAGCACCAAAGCTGAATCGCTTTCCTCCATTTCCTACTGCTGTTTCCTGTTTCAACAAAGGGGCTCTTAAAGGCTTCTGTTTGTTCAAGCTTCCATTTTTATCTCTCGAGACGAGATGGATAGGGATGTTAGAAGAGGGGGATGTTTTGAAGAAGATGAAGAGAGAAAGCTGGAGTTGCGGCTTGCGCCTCCTGGAGAAGACTGGCTGGAATCCAAGGTGGAAGATGACAAAGATCACATCTTTAACTCTGGTCTCTCTCTGAATCCCTTCCCCAATGCTTCTAAATCCATGGCAGCTCACCTTTCTGCTGGAGCAAAGAGAGGTTTCTTTGAAAGCACTGAATCCAAGACAGATGGTGTGTTGATATTTAATATTTTTGAAGTTTTTTTTGGTCATTCTTTCTTCTTAACCATTCTGTACCATCTTCTTGTTCTTGCGCTCCTGTAATCAGCTTTGCAGCAGCAGGAAAAAACAGATTTTCGCCATTTACAGATCAAACCAGAGTTAGAAAAGGATATATTGCAGAGGACAAATGGAAGAGCAGATCGACAGCTTTCTGTTGAGGTGAAGAAATGCTGTCTTCCGCTACCAATATCTGCTACTTCTTCTGGGAGTTTAGCTGTAGCTCATAATAGCTCTCAGATAAGGTATCCAGTTAGCCATTATGGCCCTATTGCCCTATTCGCTGTAGTTTCTTTTTTCTTTTTTTCGTGCATACCACCCAATTCCAATGTATTCACATATCTATAACCTTAAAGTTTACATTTTTTTACATTTATACCATACAAATATTTCTTATCATATAAAAAAATCACTATTTTAACATATTGAAATACACCTCTTTCATCCATAGGCAAGGTGGCATATACCTTAAAAAGTTTCGGTGTTAGATGTGTAAATACATAAGAATTGAATGGTATGTATGTAATTTGCAATGTTTAACGAACAGTGAGCTTTAAAGATGGCTGTTTTCTTGTTTTTCTTGCATGCCTACTTTTGGGGCATGGTGAGTTTGGGGTTTCTTACAGGAGATTTGTTTGTTGTTCTGAAAATTGAATAAAAGATGAAATATTTTTTAACTTTTTATTTATTTAAGTATAGTTCATTTGAATTAAATTATTATTTTTTTAATAACCAGAGTTCCTACTGTTAATTGATTATTTTGCACCAGATTTAAAATATTATCTTGCAACAGTTGCAGTTAAAAAACAAATGTTAGATTTCCTTGAACTCCTGGCCTGTTTTTAACTGAGGATTATTGACAAACATATCACTCTATTCCTATGTATTTACATATCAAACAGCTAAACATCAATTTTTTCATATATGCCGCCTTGCCTGTAAATGAAAATGTATATTTCACTTTTTAGAAGTTAAAACGGTGGAATTGTTGATGTAAGGAAAGATTAGGGTGGTATTATTATAAATATCAAATTTTACAGGTTACATATGTAACTACGTGGTATGTATGTGTGTAATTTCCATTTTTTTTTCACAAAGTAGTATTTTTCATTCAATTAAAACTTTAAATTCTTCATCTTTTCTTTATATAAAAATTCAGGTCTGCTTCTACACCAGTAGTTGGTTGGCCGCCAATTCGTTCTTCCAGAAAACATCTCACCACTGCTTCAAAACAAGCAGTTGAGTTGAAATCTGTAAGCTCTGAGTCAAAGCCGAAGAACGAACCGATCCGTAAAACATTTTTCGTGAAAATTAACATGGAAGGGATCCCCATTGGAAGAAAAATTGATCTACTCGCTTTTGATTGCTACGAGAAACTCTCCTCGGCCGTCGACGAGTTATTCCGCGATCTTCTTGCCGGTATATATTACACAATTTTCTGCATTTTTCGCGGATGAAGACTATTTTATAATGTGTTCATATTTGATTTGTTGGAAATATTTGATAACTTTGAATGTAGCTGCATTTATGGATATATACCACCCAATTCCTTTGTTTTTACATATCCAACACCTAAAGTTTGTTTTTTTTTACATTTATACCGCCCAAGTCTTTCATATCGCATCAAAGTTACCCCTTTTATTGCATGGGAAAGTCTGGTTTATATGTAAAAAGGTAAACTTTAGATATTGGTTATGTAAATATATAGGACTTGAGTGGTATGAGAAGACAAACAAGGCTTTTTTTTGTTTGAGAAAATGTTTCTCCATCTTTGTGAGATTTACAATGACATGAAAACATTTGCAAATGACTTTGGATGTTTTTCTTTGCAAATTTATAACTTTTTTCCCTTTATGTTGGCAGCCCAAATGGAGCCTATTGCTGCAATTAAGGAAAATGTTGAAAAACATGCAATTAGGGGATTGCTGGATGGGAGCGGCGAATATACTCTGATCTATGAGGATGAGGAAGGAGATAGAATGTTGGTTGGTGATGTTCCATGGGAGTAAGTTCTTGACACTATATTACATTGTTTTGTGGAAGTAAAATGATTATTTATTTCTCGTATTTTGGTTAAAAAAAGGGAAATTTACATATTTACTAGCCAATTCTTATGCATTAACACCCAAAATTCAATTTTTTATACACATACCATCAAATTTTTATGTTTTCAGCATAGGTTGGGCGGTCTGATGATAAAACTTGAAGTTTTGGTGGTTGATATGTTCATAGAGAGGAATTGGGTGGGTAGGAATGTAAATCTCCAAAAAAAAAAAAATGCAATTTAAAATTCAGGATTTAGGGTCTTTTTGTGGCAGCTTGTAAGTGCGGGCGGCGTTTTCAAAACGCCGTCGTACTGTTTGGTTCGTGCGTTTCGTCAGCTTATCCGAGACTGCGTTTGGGTTTTTTCACTAAACGCAGGCCGCGGGTAGACCCGCGTCAGGCCTGCGGGCCGCGTTTCAGGACGAGTAGCTTATCCTGAAACGCACAAGCTGCCCCAAACAGACCCTTAGTAAATCTAGGATTTACCAAATATTTTTTTTTAGCTGGATTTTGTAAATCTTAATTTACAGATTTACTAAAGCTTTTAAATCTAGTGGCACAAAGCCTCTTAGTTTTATGCAACATTGATAAATGTTAATCTAACAATTTGCTTGGCCTGCAACATGAATATTTTGCATTGAAGTTTTATTATTTTCAACCTGCGGTTTGGATGGGTTTTAGAATCCTTGGTTACTTTGAGATTAGTGCAATATATGATTAATGTATCAAAACTCATATTAATCTCATCACAAAGCAATTTCATTTATTTTCCTTCATTTTTTATTAGCAAAAAAATAATTTTTTTAAAAATGTTTTTTCGCCTAATTTTATTTTCCTTATATTACATGCAGAATGTTTGTTTCTACAGCAAAGAGATTGAGAGTGCTGAAGAGCTCTGAAGTATCATCATCTTCATCATCTGTATGTTCACTGAAGCCATTAATTTTAGGGAAATATACATACATACCACACAACTCTTATTTATTTACATATCTAACACAAACCTAGATTTGATATTTACACTTGTGCATGAAAGTGTGTGTTTATTTTTGATGTAATATTAAAGATTTGAGCTTGCATGAATGTCAATATGAATGTTTGGGTGTTTGATATGTAAATATATAAGAATTGTGTCGTATGTATGTAAATGCCCCACTAGCTTCATAAATATAATCATTTCCTGTCAGTTTAAAAAAAAAAAAATTAAGGAAGGTATATATTTGACAAATTTTTTATTGCAGATGCGAACATTCTGCAGGAAGAAGAAATCAAGTTGATTTTTTTTACCATATTGCAGAGCAGAAAGCCTTTAAATCCTTCTGACAAGCTTTAGCTATTTGCCCTTTTTTTCTTCTTTTTGTAAATTTTTTAATTGTTCTTGTCATATTCTACTAAAATTGTCTGCCTTTTTAATTATACATTTACTTAATTAGTCTTCTGTGTTCTTCTTCAGCCATGATTGATCTGTAGTTTTATAGGAAATTTACATACATACAACATATTTCCTCTCTAATTACATATCTTACATGCCAGTGTTCTAAGCCTATGCATGTAAATATGAATGTTGAGTTGTTAGATATGTAAATACAGAAAAATTATATGTTATGAATGTAAATGCTCCATGCAAAGAAGTGAAAAATAAAATGTGGACAGGTGGCTGAATGACAGAGCTTGTTCTTCCTTGCAAGAAATTCATGTCGCCATTGATTGCACATAGACAATGAAAATGATTTTTAGGAGCTGATTTTAGAAATTATTCCGAAAAGCCAAATAGTCAAAGTCAATCTTTGCTTTTCTTGATAAAACATAGGGAAATTTACATACCTACCAAACAATTCTCATGTATTTACAAATCTCACTCTTAACTTATCATATTTACATGTATATAACACTGCAAAATGTGTATTTTACTTTTACAAAATGATGCTACTTTGATGTGATATGAAAGATTTGAATGTTGTGTAATATGTTACATACATAAGCATGTATGTCAATGCGTTATATTTTTATAACATAGCCTCATTTACATGTATAAAACATGATTCTTATGTATTTATATGTTTAACATATATACTTTTAAATTTAAAGATTTGAGTGTTGTTATGTAAGGTAGATATGTAAGACTGTATGTAAATGCTTGTAAATTATAAAATGTTACATTTTTTTTATATTTTAGGGGCGTTTATATATATGCCCACACAATTCTTATGTATATACATTATGTATCTACATGTCTCAAACCTAAACTTTCAAACTTAGGGTTCGTTTTGTGCGTTTTAGGATAAGTTGTTTATCCTGAAATGCGGCCCGCGAGTCGGCCGCATGGGTCGACTCGTGACCCGCTTTTAGTGTAAAAATCCAAACGCAGTTTCAGATAAGTTGGCAAAACGCGCGAACCAAATGGTACGGCAGAATCTGCCCCAAACGGACGCGGCCCGTGGGCCGGCCGGAAGGGGCGGG